ACATGGACGATGTACTCTCGGGCGCGGATACACTGGAAAAGGCTCTGGCTCTCCGGCGTCAACTCTCGGAGCTCTGCATGGCGGGCGGCTTTCCGCTCCGCAAATGGTCGGCCAACGAGGAGTCCTTGCTGACGGACGTTCCAGCGGAGCACAGGATGCAGCGCGAGCTCCGCTCTTGGCGACCGAAAGAATCGCATGCCACTCTCGGCCTTCAATGGCATCCCTGCCTCGACAGCTTCTCCTTTGCGACGAAGACGAGTTTAGTGACATCTTTCACGAAAAGGTCGGTGCTGTCCCTCACTGCCCGGCTTTTTGATCCGCTCGGTTGGCTGGCGCCGGTGGTAGTGAGTGCAAAGATCTTGTTCCAGGCTACCTGGCTAAGAGGACTGGACTGGGATGACACCTTGAGCAAGACTGACGCTCTGCAGTGGAAGACCTACCAGGCGGAGCTCCCGTTGCTGGAGCAAATTCGAGTCCCTCGGAGAATATATCCAGACGCCAGAGGACTCGGCGTCGAACTTCATGGTTTTGCCGATGCATCCGAGAAGGCCTATGCTGCCGTGGTTTACTTGCGAGCACAGGCGCAGGACGGATCATGGCTGGTCACCTTGCTCGCGGCAAAGACCAAGGTCGCCCCTCTCAAAACCGTGGCTCTGCCTCGACTTGAGCTCGATGCTGCTGCGCTGCTCGCGCGGCTTGCTGCCCACACGAAGGTCACGCTCGAACTGCCCGAGGCGCCTCTTCATCTATGGTCGGACGCCATGGTGGCCCTGGGCTGGATCCGAGGGCACCCTACTCGATGAAAGACCTATGTGGCCAATAGGGTATCAGCAATTCAAACGGCGGTCCCGGAGGCGCTGTGGCATCATGTGCCTGGCCGGGACAATCCAGCGGACTGTGCCTCTCGAGGTATCTCTCCCGGCGAGTTAGGAAATCATCCTCTCTGGTGGTACGGGCCGCCTTGGCTCAAGGAGGACTCTTCAGCGTGGCCCGCTACCGGAGTGTCGGAGACGGAGGAGCTGCCCGAAGAGCGGGTGCGAGTCCACGC